AAGAAAGAAAGAAAGAAAGAAAGAAAGAAAGAAAGAAAGAAAGAAAGAAAGAAAGAAAGAAAGAAAGGAAGGAAGGAAGGAAGGAGAGAGAGAGAGAGAGAGAGAGAAAGAGAGAGAGAGAGAGAAAGAAAGAAAGAAAGAAAGAAAGAAAGAAAGAAAGAAAGAGAGAGAGAGAGAGAGAGAAAGAAAGAAAGAAAGAAAGAAAGAAAGAAAGAAAGAGAGAGAGAGAGAGAGAGAGAGAGAAAGAAGAGAGAGAGAGAGAGAGAGAGAAAGAAAGAAAGAAAGAAAGAAAGAAAGAAAGAAAGAAAGAAAGAAAGAAAGAAAGAAAGAAAGAAAGAAAAGCATTCCTTAAAAATTAGAATGGAGCAAATGGAAGCTAATATCTCATTGGAAAAATGACTGATCTGGAAAGTAGATCCAGGAGAGATATCTTAAAAATTACTGGACTACCTGAAAGTCATGATCAAAAAAAGAACCTAGACATCATCTTTCAAGAAATTATCAAGGAAAATTGTCCTGATATTCCAGAACCAGAGCATAAAATAGAAACTGAAAGAATCCACTGATCACCTCCTGAAAGAGATCCCAAAAAGAAAACTCCTAGGAATATTATAGACAATTTCCAGAGTTCCCAGGTCAAGGGAAAAATATTGCAAGCAGCCAGAAAAAAATAATTCAAGTACTGTGGAAATACAATCAGGATAATACAAGATTTAGCAGGTACTACATTAAGGGACCACAGGGCTTGAAATATAATATTCCAGAGGGCAAAGGAAATAGGATTAAAACTAAGAATCACCTACCCAGCAAAACTGAGTATAATCCTTCAGGGGGAAAAAAAATGGATATTCAATGAAATAGAGGACTTTCAAGCATTCTTGATGAAAAAACCAGAGATGAATAAAAAATTTGACTTTCAAATACAAGACACAAGAGAAGCATGAAAAGGTAAACAGGAAAGAGAAATCATAAGGGACTTATTAAAGTTGAACTGTTTACATTCCTATGTGGAAAGATTATATTTGTAACTTATGAGAACTTTCTCAGTGGTAGGGTAATTGTATGGAAGATAGATAGATAGACAGACAGACAGACAGACAGAGGGCACAGGGTGAATTGAATATGAAGGGAAGGTATCTAAAAAAAATTAAGGGGTGAAAGACGATTGTACTAGAAGAGGGAGAAAGGGAGAGGAAGAATGGGGTAAATTATCTCATGTAAAAGAGGCAAGAAAAAGCTTTTACAGTGGGGAGGGCGGTGAGAGGGAATGAATGAATCTTACTCTCATCGGATTTGGCTTAAGGAGGGAATAACATACACACTCAACTGGGTTTGGAAATCTATCTTCCCTACAGGAAGGACAGATTGGGGAGGAGGCAATCCGAAGCAATCACTTTTGAGGAGGGACAGGGTCAAAGGAGAGAATAGAATAAACAAGAGGCAGTATAGGATGGAGGGAAATATAGTCAGTCTTTCACAACATGACTATTATGGAAGTGCTTTGCATGACTACACATGTATAACCTATATCAAATAGTTTGCCTTCTCAATGAGGGTGGGTGGGGAAAGAGGAAGGGATAGAATTTGAAACTCAAAGTTTTCAAATTCTTTCTACGTGCAACTGGGAAATAAGATATATAGGCAATGAATACAGAAATCTATCCTGCCCTTCAGGAAAATAGAAGGGGAAGGGGATAAGAGAAAGTGTGGAGGTGGTGATAGAAGAGAGGGAAGACTGGGGAAGAGGTATTTGGAATGCGGTGGGGGAGGGGAGAGATGGGAACAAAAATTGGAACTCAAAATCTTGTGGAAATGAAAGTTGAAGACTAAAAATAAATTAATTAACAATAAAAAAGAAATAATTGATAACTATTTGATACATAAAATGTTAATATGTTTTATTATAATATGCACATAAGAAAGATAACAGGAAGACTAAAATTTGGAATAACTTTTGACAAAACTTTTTGCCAGTGTTGGCACTTAGAATATATTAATTGCAACATAGTTGACCTTTGTGCCTAGCTCTCAAGCTCTTATAAACATTCTCTACGCCTGACCAACAATGCACATCCTGAAACAAACTTTTCTCACCTTTTCATGCTCAGATCAAGTAATGAGAATTTTATGTAGCTGCCACTAAGCAACAAGGCAGGTGTGCCTAAGAGTTGATGTTTTAAGGACAAAAATTCAACTACATGTAATACAAGCAAGAGATTAACAAATTAGAAGAAATTCTGTCATAAATTCTTCAAGTTTTATTTGTACTAGTACATATCTCCAAGAAAAACAATAAAATGTGTATTACAACAAAAAAAATTTACAAACAGAAATTTTTCCATGTTTATATTTCAGTCATGGCCACATCTAAAAGCCATTCCACCTTTCTCAGTGGAAAGTTTCTCCTAACACAGAAGTTTTGTCTAAATCCTACTCACTCAAAACCAGCCTTAAGATTTAGCTCCTCCATAAATCTAATGGAGCTGACCTTCCTTGCCTGGAATCCCCTCAGACCTGTTAAAAATTAGCCATCACCAAATTCAGCTAATCTAAACTGATACTGATCTCTACCATTTGTTTGTCCTCTACTCATGTATATTTCCATGCGGTCTATCTTGTACTCTTTTCTTGCATGCTATTTAACATCTCATGTTTTGTCTTCCTGTTTAAAAAAAAAACCTACCGATTTGGTAATTTTTGAGTACAACTATTCAACTGAACAATTTACTAATTTACTAGGTCCCTAGGCTTTAGTGCTAAAAACAATCTTAAAGACCACCTAGTGGAAATCCCTCATTTTACAGCTGAGGTATCAAAGTACCAGAGAAGCTAACTGACTTGCCCACAGACACACAGGCAGTAATGGGGCTGAAACCCAAGTCCCTGGACTTGCAGTCCACTTTGCACAAAACCACAGATGCCTCTCACAGTTTCTGGTTGACTGTGGCTCTGACATACCTAGTCTCTTCAATGAGTCAATGAATTATTCACTCAGGATAAACAATTAACTAAAACTGAAACAGACTCAGGGTCCAAATGTCCTTTCTAACTGCAAATTTACAATTTTGATAACTTATGCCTCACACTACAATTGGCAAAGGAGCACAATATAAAAGGCTAGGACAAAGTGAAGTTTTCCTGCAAAATACAAGAGACTGCAATATAAAATGCAAAGTAGGTGAATTTAAAGTATTAAAATTCTTAATAATTGCAGAAGTAATCAGCGTGACCACCACTCAAATAGAGATATACTGGTATAGACCAGAAGGGCACCAATGGAGGCAGATTAGTCAAAGTACATGCCAAGCATGTGAACTCATTAAAATAAGCCAAAAATAATTAGCAGCTGGATGGTCAAGTGAATAGAGCACTGGACATGGAGTTAAGAAGACCTGATTTCAAATCTGTTCTCAGATACTTATTAGCTATGTCAGTGAACTTCTGCATATCTCAGTTTCCTCATCTGTAAAATGGAGATAATAACATCACCTACATCCTCAGGTTGTTGTGTTGTTGCTGTTACCATAGTCGTCGTCGTCATCATCATCATCATCATCATCATCATCACCATCATCATCATTATTTTCATGATGTCTGGATAGCTTAAGCCTCCCATCACTACTATGTGATTCCTCTATGCCTGGTTTGATACCTATTTTACAAATTCTTCATTCATTTCTTTTTTCTATACAAGTAGGCTATGATACATTCCAGAGACAATTTGTCACTTGCTAGCTGTGTGACCCTGGGCAAGTCATTTAACCCCAACTGCCTCACCAAAAAAGGGGGGAAAAAAAGGCAATTTGTCTATTTCTGCCTCTGTTGATCTTCACCCAAGAGATCTCTACTGTCCTCACCTCTGCTTCCTATACTGCCTCATATAAACAGAACTCCTAGTATACAATGCTATTCCACTCCTCCCCCCAACCCCTGCTTTTCTCACTACTTTTGCTTTTAAATAACATATACATTTTACTTGTCCCACATTTCATTCTATCAAGTCTCCTATTAGGCTCTCTAGTTCATCTTGCTTATAATCTATACCTTGCATGTATTTATACAAGTAACAAAGGCCATGGAAGTTTCACTGCTTGCTTCTTTACTGGATTTTTGTCCTATGCATTTCTAGGTGTCCCTACTCTCTTTGATATCTGATACCTCTGACATATCAGATATACCTGATATATTACATATCTAGTGAAAATCCCATCATTTCTATCTATAGTTTAAGCTATGGCACGGAAATCCAAATCACATTCTTCAGATATTTTCTTAATTAGCTGTTCACTTCCTTGTAACAATTAGCTTGTAACTTCAGTTAGCAACAGTGATGAATACACCAACCATGTTTCTAAGGTATTCAGTTTCCTATTCAAGATTTCATAATCTTTAGCAATGCTTTCTAAGAGTCCTTTTGGTGGTAACATTCAGGTTCATATGCAACTCTAGAAATACAAAATAATCAAGTTGAACAGGACTTCAGAGGTTCTCTGTCACACCTTGGATATATAACCCAGGATAACACAACACAGCACAACAGAACACACTATTGTTAAACTCTAGATGCTAAACTGCCTCCTCAACAAGGAGTTAAAAACCATCACTAATCATACGTTTTTCCTAATACAAGATCTCACCTACAGCACTAATAGCTCTAATTCATCACATCTTAAAAATATAGGATATGGGGGCAGCAAGGTGGTGCAGTGGATAGAGCACTGGCCCTGAAGTCAGGAGTACCTGAGTTCAAATCCGGCCTCAGACCAAGTACTTGACACTTGCTAGCTGTGTGACCCTGGGCAAGTCACTTAACCCTAATTGCCTAAAAAACAAACAAAAAACAAAAAAAAATATAGGATATGCCACTGATTCCTCCTGACATAATCCCCTATCCCTCTCTTTGTGAACAGCATCCATCTCCAAACTATTTCTAATATTCATTTAATACAAGAAAACGTGAAGACTTTTTATGAAGCGCTTTGCAAAGAGTAAATTCTTACCATCATTTTTTCAAAAAGTACCAGGAGTTCTTTCTCAGACAGTGGTCTAGGATTATTTTCCATCATGTCTGAGGATGTTGAAGGCCAATCAGTGCTTGAGGAAAATGTGTGCTTCAGGTTAAGTAATGGAGGTCTCTCTTTCTTACTTCCTGGAATTCTTATGCTGGCAAATTTGTCCAACTGCATAAAAAAATAGAAAAATACACAAATGATAATTGTGCCTCATGAAACGTAAAAAACAAAGACAATTTTATGTTTCTGTTCAGCAACAATGTAATAGTGATTTTAATAACATGAACTTAGCATATGAAAAGTAAATAGTAGTAGTAATAGTGGCAGTAGCTCACATTTACACAGTCCTTAATTCTTATAATGAATGTGCTTTACAAACATTATCTCATTTGAACACTAAAATCCTTTGAGGCAGAAAGTGGGTGAATTATCCCTATTTTCCACATTAGGAAAGTTAAATTACTTATCAAATATAACATGGCTTATAAATTTAAAGTCACAGAATTTAAGGTTGGAAAGGACTATAGAAATCATCTAACTTAACACCTTAACTTAACAGAAACTGAGCCCAAAGGAAGATCAGAGAATCACAGAGATAGAGCCAGAAAGGAATTCAGAAGCCATCACTAGTCCAATTCCCTTTTTTTACAAAGAAGGAAAATAAAGCCCAAGTGTGTAATATAGAGAGTGCTTTAAAAAAAAGTTTTTAAAAAAATGAGTGCTACTGAAGAAAGAATTGGAAAGAAAATTAACAGCTTGGCACTAGAGGTACTAGACCCTGTCCAAGCAACAAACTCCCTGAAAATTACAACAGACCAAGTTGAAGCCAATGACTCTATGAGCCAACAAAAAATATTAGAAGGAACAGAAAGAGGAAGGAAGAAAGGAAGGAAAGAAGGAAGGAGGAAGAGAAAGAAAGGAAGGAAGAAAGAAAGGAAGGAAGGAAGGAAGGAAGGAAGGAAGGAAGGAAGGAAGGAAGGAAGGAAGGAAGGAAGGAAGGAAGGAAGAAAGAAAGAAAGAAAGAAAGAAAGAAAGAAAGAAAGAAAGAAAGAAAGAAAGAAAGAAGAAAGAAGAAAGAAAGAAAGAAAGAAAGAAAGAAAGAAGTGGGGGCTAGAGGGAAGGAAGGAAGGTAAGGTATCTCTTCACAAAAGCTATTAAACTAGAAAACAGAACAAAGAGAAAAAAATTAAGAATCATTTGACTATATGAATGCATTGACCAAGAAATCTTTAAAGACAACTGTCCAGATCTCTTAGAACTAGAGGGCAAAGAGAAAAAAGAAAAGAATCCACTGGTCATTTCATGAAAGAAACCCCCAAATTAAAACTTCCAGGGACACTGCAAACAAAATCTAGAATTCCCAGGTCAGAGAAAAATACTGCAAGCAGCTAGAAAGAAAGAACTCAAGTGCCACAAGGCCAGCAATTTAGCAGCCACCCTTAAAGGAGTAGAGCCCTTGGAATACAATATTCCAGGAGGCAGAGAATCTTACAGTCTAGAATAGTTAACCTGGCAAAACAGAATATAATGCTATGAGGGAAATGGATCTTTAATGACATTGATGAAAAGACCAGAAAAATGGAAAGGGAAGAGAAGAGGAACATACTAGGGGCTAAAAGGAAAGTGAGAGCAAGGAAAATTATCTCACATAATCCGGATGCTCCAGCAGAAGTCTATACAAACAAAGAAGGGAAGAGGGAACTGATGACACCTGAACCTACTAACTATCATCTAAACTCGTCAGAGAGGAAGGGCACAAGCACACAGAGTTGGATACAGAAGTACATTTTACTCACTAGGGAAATAGAAAGGGAAAGAGGAGAAGTGGAGCCTCTAGGGAGGATAGCTTAAGGGAGGAATTAGTCCTAAACAAAACAAAATTTAAGACTGTAAAAAAGTATTTATAGTTCTTTTTGAGGAGTAAAGTATAGGAATCTGAAGGAGTACCTCTCAATTACAGAATGGCTAAGCAAATTACAGTATACAAACATACTTTGTTCTGTTGTACTTTACTTCATTGCACTTCACAGATAACTGAGTTTTTTACAAATTGTAGATTTGTGGCAGCCCTGCACCAAGCAATCTGTTGGTGCCATTTTTCCAACAGCATGTGCTCAAGTCATATCTCTGTGTCACATTTTGGTACTTCTTGCAACATTTCAAACCTTTTCATTATTATTATATCTGTTATGGTGATCTGTGATCACTGATCTTTGATGCTACTGTTGTAATTGTTTTGGAAGACAGAGAACTTAATTGATGAATGTGTTCTGACTGCTCCACCAACCAGTTGTTTCCCCATTTCTCTTCCTCTCCTCAAGCCTCCCTCAGGCACAACAATATTAAAGGATATTCATAAATTTAGTTGATAAAGCAGCAGCAGGGTTTGAGAGGATTGACTCCAATTTGGAAAGAGGTTCTACTGTGGGTAAAGTGCTATCAAACAGCACTGCACACTACAGAGAAATCTTTCGTGAAAAGAAGAATAAATCCATGAGGCAAACTTCATTGTTGTCTTATTTTAAGAAATTGCCATAGCCACCACAACCTTCAGCAACCACTACTAGTAACCTGATTAGTCAGCAGCCATCAACATCAAGGCAAGAACATCCACCAGCAAAAAGATTATGACTCACTGAAGGCTCACTTGACAGTTAGCATTTTTTAGCAATAAAGTATTTTTTAATTAAGGTATGTACATTTTTAAGACACAATACTATTGTACACATAAGACTACAGTATCATGAAAATATAATTTTATATGCTCTAGGAAACAAAAAATTCGTGACTCAGTTTATTGCAATATTCACTTTAATGCAGTAGTGTGGAACCAAACCACAATATCTCCAAAGTATGCCTATATGAATGAGAGACAATACTATTGTTCTGTAAGAAATAAATGTAATGAGGAGACTTCTATGAACTGATGCAGAATGAAGTGAACAGAACTAGAATAACTTATACAATTAACTTATATTTAAACAAAAATTATATTTATGTTTCAACAATTGATATAGAGACAACAATACAGTAAAAATAACTTTGAAAGAATTAAGAACTCTAATCAGTGTAATGATCAATCACAATTTCAGAAAACTAATGATGAAACATACTATCCATCCCCTGATAGAGAAGGACTCAGAGCACAGAATGACATACATACATACACACACACACACACACAGCCAATAAGGAAATTTGTTTTGCTTTGACTATACATACTTGTAACAAGGGCCTTTTTTTTTTCATTCTCAATACAGAGGGAAGGGGAGCAGAAGTGAAGCATGAAGTGGGAGCAGAAGCCAAGTAGGAGGTTTGGGAATAAGAAGGTAGATTTTTGCTAACTGACATTTGTTTTGTTTTGTTTTGTTTTGCTTTTTAAAGAAAAGGCACGGAATCAGCAGACTAAGTGTTCTAAGTGAAGAACAGCAAATAGAACAATAAATGCCTGAATCATAGACTACATGGAGGGCAGAATAAGGTATAAAGAAGACTAGAAAGAAGTAACAACAGTCTAGGTTGTGAAGAGATTAAAATGCCAATGATTCCTCTTTTCCTGGCTGTTTACACTATTTTTTCTTTAACCCTGAAACCTTAGATTTTTGTCTGGGTAGTTCATATTTATGAACTCTTAAAATTTGGAACCCAAGACTTTTTTTGGAATTGTTTTTCCAAGTAGTGTAATCATGCTCAAATAATCTTCCAACCTATTTCCTAAGCCCATTTTTGATTAGCATTACTTTACACTTCTTTCCTCCAGAGATCTTGTTTTATTCATATTATTTTCTTTTTTAATCTCTTGTTTCATCATAAAGGAATTCTGGTAGACCTTGTGGTCAAAATCGTCATCTAAGACTCGGCCCATAGTTCATGTAGAGTTATTCACTTCCTCTAGGTTTGTGTCTAGGACCTCCCTGGATCCATTAAACTGCTGGCAGTTTTTTTTTTCTTTTATTTATTCATATTTCCAAATTTTTGACATGACCGGGCTCTGACATTGCTGGTTCACTTAAATTTTCAAACTGTTATATTTTTGTAAGTTCACAGCTTTAACTCTGGAAGGAACTTTAGATGACAATCCAACCTATATACCTTCCCAAATGAATAATCCAAACATCCATTATTTTCTTGATAAAGCTAGAAAAGCTTAGCAAAATGATTAGCTTTAAATATGTAAAGTCTCTAATCATTCTTTCTAGTCATTTATCAGTAGCCAGGTGTGGCAGGACCAAACAATGATTACAGTGATTCATTTCATCATCATATCTGGTTTGTAGCTGTTAAGGCCCATCCAATAATGTATTCATTATTTAGAATTTTTGTGTCAGCAATTGCCATTCTTTCTCTGTGAATGTAAACTAAATGTCATTGCTTGTAACAAAATATGTACAGGCATACACAATTAGTAATGACCTGCTGGCCTATTTCAAAAGATCTATGATTCCAATATATGAAATATTGAAGAAAAAGACCTGAATGAATGTTAGCCTGTTTACTAAATTTATCACATATAAGACCCGATTCAGGAAAGTCAAGAGCTAAGTCAATAAATCAAGCTATACACAAACTGAAATGCAGCTTCATTTTTTTGCTTTGTTTTGAGGCCCCCGATGAGCTAATTAGGCCACCTGTGCAAGAGAGACTACACTGGGCTCTAGAAAAGTTTCTAAGTCTAAGCTACCACTATAAGAACTGTCCCTATATCTGCGAAGTCAACCAGCAAGTCAGGCTCTGCCCCTGCAAATTAAGATGTTAAATTTATTCCAAAGAAAAATTATGCAAAACATCATTAATGCAACATCAATATTGCAAATTTAAACATGTCAATAAATGCAAATACCAATGTTATCAGAACAGCATATTTAAGTATTTCCTCTGCTGATTTCAAAGTCAATACCTTAGGATGCCACTAAATCAAATATGTAAAAGCATATCATAACCAACACAAACCTAAAAGAATGTATTCCAAATGACATGTGCTAGAATTGAGGATAATACTATTCATTTAAGTTAGAATGTACATTATATATTTTGGCATTTTTTTAAAAATACCTCTAAGCAGAATTTTGGAGCCACAAAGCACAAAACAATTCAGAAAACACTGTAGGATTTCCTATATTCCTAAATACCCTTAGTATCTAATCTCCAAGCAATAAAAGGTATTTATT